GAATGCTGGCAGCATTTTCAATGACAATGCTTTCCATTGTCATTTCTATTGTCATTTCTGCTAATTAATGACACTTGCTGCTATTTTCTCCTGTTTTATTTTATATCTTGGCCAAGAAACCAAGCCTCTGTTGTAATGGAATAATGGAACTAGAATTTTAAGGAAGATAATTTAGAATGTTACATACATGCATACACACGCAATTGCAAAAGGTCTACCTTTCTAGCCATATGGATATGTCTTTGCACTGGGTTATATATATTTAAGAACATTATTAACATTAAGCTTTCTTGGGCTTGAATACTGAAAACCTTTGTGAAAGGATCATTCTTGGCAAACTAGTATTGATGAGTTTTCACTCTTGTCATAGCCATACCCTCCAGATGAACATGGAGAAAAAGAACATCCCTGCTTATCCTGTGTTAGATTACCACTCTTGGATATCTGGAATTTTTTCCCCTTAGACTTCAGTTTCTACAACCCCATCAACAGGCCAATAGCTAGATACAATACATTACAGTACACCAAAGAGGGTCACCAGGGCAAGGATATCTGAAACAAGATTATCTCTGTTCAGATATCTAACCTTGTAAAAGGCTTCCAGGCTACAGAGGTCACTTGTGCTTCTACAACAAAGATGGATCAATGAGCACCTCTAGATTACAAATGTGATCCTTTTAAGGAAAGTGTATAATAGCGAAAGCCATGTGAGACTCAAGCAGAAACCTTTTGGAATTGGGTGGCAAAGTACCATTTCAATTGTTTATTTGTTTACACTATTCTGAGAGGGCTGTGATCCACAGAAGCTTTTAAAATAATATCTTTAAGGTGCTGCAAGAGTTTCTGTTCTTATTACTCAAGAAGGGAATCAGTAATGCTCTTTTTTAAATGTAATTTTTATTAAGAGTTTTGATTACAATATAAACTAAACTTGCAGAAAGAGATTAGAATAGAAAAGAGCAGCAAATGTACGGGATAAAAAGAAAGAAAAAGAAAATAAATATATAAAAAGTGACTTCCAATCTTCATCACAAATCTAAATAAATTTAATAGCATTTCATCTCCCTCCTATAAATTACATACTGCAGATAAATATCTCTTTCTCTCATATCCCATTCTTTAGAAGCAGATCCAGTAAAAGTCAACTTTTTAATCCTCATGTCAGCAAAAAGTCCTTAAACAACTTTGTCAGAACTTTGCAAAAAAAGAAAAGAAGCTTATTTTAACCTTGATCAAATAAACCAACATTATGTTCCTTCCTTTTACTCCTAACTGTCTTAACTATCAAATATTTTTATAGGATTTGATTTCTCTTCAATTCTTTATCCCATCACACAGGTTTCTTCAAGGCTTTAACAAACCTCTTTTGTAAACCCAATAATTTTTCAGGTCATTCTCCTTATTTGTCATTTATAACTCCTTTTTCATTTTTAAAAATGAAGCCAGTTTCTTTTGTATATCCAGTAAAGCATTGTTTTCCCAATCGTTATCTTGGCCTGTCATTTACTACCTTTGGTACTTTTTCTGTCTTTTCAGATAAATTTTGGTTTACATCTGTCATTTCTTCATTAACATCTTTTGGATATAGTCTATCCATAAAAGCAGGTATCATTATCAACACTGTTGATATTGCAGTTAATAACTTCTGCTCCATTCTTCAAATATCTCCTTTAATGTTTCTGATGTTATAATGTTTTGGGTCATTTGATAAGTCCCAATATTAACTAATATCAAGAACATTTTTCTGTTTTTTCCTTCTGCTTAGATGCTTTAATTCCCTCTAGTATCCAGTTTCTAAAATCATAAAGTCACTTATCTTTGTAATAACTTACAACAGCAAAGTTAGCCAGAATAAGTCTGCTTCTCATGAAAAGTTATTCATTTTTATAGTTATTTCCCAAAACGTATAGTAAAAATCAATATTCCAAATTTATCTGGACTTTTAATTCACTTGTAACTTTCTTAGATTAAAATGTTATTTAGTTTTTTGCTGTTTATTTAAAATTCTTTAAGTTCATTAGCTTGTATTTATTTTTCTTTTGATCAGAATTGAAGATAAATTCACCCTGATGACTTTTAAAACTTGTCATTCTGAAGGTGTTTAGTAGCTTTAAGAAGTGATTTCCAAAAGTGGTTAGAAAATGAGGCTTGTGAATTTAGTGTAGGTTCTGCTACACTTGGGAGCAAGGAAACTGATCCCTTCATCTCCTGGTGCTCAAACCCATTGAAAACTGATGTTCTGCAGTCTCTTTATGAGGAGCAGACATTCAGATAACATGTGGGCAATCTCTCACCCTGTCCTTATCTGGAGAGGTTCCAAGGAACCGGTTATCGGCTATATTTTTTCAAAGATGTCTTCAATTTGACATACCTCCCCTGCAAGTCACCTGGAATCAGCCATTCTTGTTAAATGTGGCAATGTACAATGTGTTCTGAAATAAATTGTATGACTAAGGCTGTCATAGAATGGATTCCATTTGATAAAAAGTATCCACAAAAGTGTCCTAAAACAAGATGGAGCGTCAGATATCAGCAAGTATTGTGGGCCTAATTGGCAAAAGAAAGCTCTAGACCAGGGGTTCTCAACCTTGGCAACTTTAAGACTTGTGGACTTCAACTCCCAGAATTCCTGGCTGAGGAATTCTGAAAGTTGAAGTCCACAAGTCTTAAAGTTGCCAAGGTTGAGAACTCCTGCTCTAGACCATATTGGTTGGAAACATGCGGAAGAGGCCTTCACCCTGCAGTGGATAGACAATGGCTAGAATGATGATGATGATGATTTTGAAATAGTATGAAATAACTTCTGATTTAATCTTAATGAAAATTAGGAAAAGCATACTTCCTTTATTGTTGAATAAATAATAAATTCATGAAGAGTCACGACTATCAGAATTCTGTTGTGAACCTTGAACTGAATTTGCTCACCTGTAATTTGAAACACTTCAATAGATAATACACAGAATAAGAGAGAGAAAGATACACACTGGGTTCTTTCAATATGCATTATTTCAAGGGAGATACGCGTTGGATTGGTTCTGGGAAGGGAGCATAAATCTGACCATACATAATCAGTGTTTAATAGCTTTCCTGTGTTTGAAAGTGTTAATGCAGATCAAATGGAAAACATTCCAGAAAGAATAGCTCTGGCTACTGCTCTGCTTTATATATGGCCCTAATCACTAATTCTTATTTTAAGATCTAAATGTGATTTTGTTTTCTCTTCTAATGTGTTGCAGCTCTCCCAGAGACTTGAGTGAATCCTTTCTCAAGTTCCATCTTGATCAATTGTGTGCAAATAATTAAGCTTTTAAGAGATAATGGTATGAGGCTAATGTACACATCAAAAGTAAAGATCTCAAGTCACTGTTTATTGAACAGTGGCCAAATCTCCTTTGATATCTCAAAAGTGATCTCGGTGATAAGTATGCTTCTTAGCTAAAACCAGTGGGATGTTAATAATTGACTGATTTTAAAGAGGATTCCCTCCTTTGAAACAATAACAACAACAACCAGATGATAGTGCAAAGTAGGAGTGACTGATAGATTAAATCTGCCACTCTGCATAATGAATTTCCACTGTTTTAATGTTAAAATAGTAATTATCTGGAATATCACCTATTCTTATGCTGCAGTGCAGTTTCTCCTGTAGCCTGTAGCATGTGCCTTACTAGCCTGAAGGATGAGGAATCAACAGTGCTTTGAATGTTTTTAACATGGCTTAGCCTGTGGCATGTTCATTCTTGGTCTATTTAGTGCTGTTCTTCCAATGTAGAAGGAATGATTCTGACTTCCTACAATAATTGTATTATAAAAATTATTCAAGCGTATGAAACATTTTGGATTTTTTAAAAGAACCAGTCTCATTATGATTTTTTTTTCCCTGGGAGAGATTATCTCCATGAAATAATGGCTTTCATGTGATTATCGCAATTACAGTTTTTTTTCACGAAACTGAACATTGATGTTAAGCCAATAACCAGACAATGAAGGGAGGGGAGGGAAGAGGAGCATGAAAGAAAGATCAGATGACTGAAAACGTACCATAATTTAAAATAATTTTGTTCAAATATTTTAGTATACTCAGGCATGTGGCTGTGTGTGCATATGTTTTGTTTACAGTAGTTATATTATTTTGATGGCTAATTTTATCTGTTCTTGCGTCTATTTCAAAAGGTCCAGAACAATTGAAAATTGCTTCATGGAGACAGAATTCTCAGTCTCAGTAGCTTGAGGCTGTCTTGGAAATTCTTGCTTCCTGAATGGAATTAGGCATAGCTTGCTAAGTTATGTAAAACTGGATCTGTTGCAAGGTGGTAAAACAATATAAGAACGAAAATGATTTTGAACATTAGAGTAAGCAGTGGATACATCTAAGGAATTTAGTCCCATTAATCTGACTTCAAACTTCCCAAACAATTTGTATTGTGTGCAAAAGAATATAATCTCAAATTTAAGAATCATTGCAGTACTAAAGAAAAAGGTCAAAATGAGCCCAGTGAAACAGAACAGAATAACAGAGTTGGAGGGGACCTTGGAGGTCTTCTAGTCCAACCCCTTGCTCAAGCTATACCATTTCAGACAATGACTGTCCAGTCTCTTTTTAAAAGTCTCCAGTGATGGAGCACCACAACTTCCGAAGGCAAGCTATTCCACTGGTTAATTGTTCTAACTATCAGAAAATGTCTCCTTAGTTCTAGATTGCTTGTCTCTTGGTTAGTTTCCAACCATTGCTTCTTGTCCTGCTTTCTGATGCTTTGGAAAATAGATTGTCTCTCTCATCTTTGTAACAGCTTCTCAGATATTGGAAGACTGCTATCTTGTCACCCTTAGTCCTTCTTTTCACTAGACTAGACATACCCAATTCCTGCAACCCTTCTTCAGTGATAGCACAGTGTAATAATATCAAAAGCTAGGGCCATTAATCCAGTTTAAACTATTGTAAAACATGGGTGGGCAACATAGGTCCCTAGGGAATGAAGTGATCCAAAGCCCCTACCGTCATGATTTCTGAGTACTGGTTGTATACTGTAGATTTCCACCATCTTGACATAAGCAATGCATACAAAGTAAGAAGTGTAAGCCTTGAAATAGATAAGTACAGTTCAAAACCAAAACAAAACTGAATATTCCTCTTTTCAAAACACAGGGAATCCTATGTCTATATACATAACATAGTTTCCATACTATGAATCTTGGTTCCCTCAAAATAGTGAGTTCCAGATCATTGGAATTTGCCCATTCTTGTCTTAGAACTGAACTGATAGGTACTACTAGAAAAAGTGAGCATTGACAATAGGGCTTGACAAATAACTTGCAAGTATCAAGTGCTAGTTATTTTGGATATCACTTGATCACCATTTCCACATAAAATGTTGGAAGTCACAACGAACCTAGAGGGATAATTGACTTCATTTTTCTTGCATAATGAATCCCGCTGGTCCCATGTTACCTTTGCAGGTAGAGCTACAATTATGGAGAAAGAGTGGATTGTATTGATGGGTGTTTTTTTAAAAATGTGAATCTTTGCATTATGGCCTGCCAAAAGTTTATACTAACAAAGCCAAAGACAAATGATCACAGTACTTTGAATGTAAGAAACTGGCAACACTTATATTGGAGACTCATTTATCATAGAACTGTAAGACATAGTAAGAAGTCTCCAGTGTTTATTTTATTTTACTATTTCTCTAAAATAAAGCATATAAGCTTCTTGTCCTGTAGCTGCACAGCAGTTCATCTTAAAATGTCAAGCTACAATAGTCTTTAAGTTTTCCTTTATTACTTGTTACAGACTTTTTTTCATTTCAGTGTTGGAAAGCTGAAATGTCTAACCCAGGAACAGCTTTCTGGCCATTGTTACTAACCCAGTAGGCTTCCAGCCAAACAATATTAGTTTTTCAGAATTTGGAATACCCTTGGAAATAAAAACCCAAATCATTGTGGATCATTGGTCTTGTCAGTTAACGTTTCTTTTTTCTTTTTTTGTTATGTGTACGTTTTTAAAAATGATGAAATCATTCTTAAAAGTATTAAAATAGCCCCCTTTTTCCACTATATAAACATAGATATCCTCAGAATATTGACAAAAATGATTGGGCAGTGATTACTACAACCTGGACAACCCATCAGTGTACTTGCCACAATATTCATTAAGGCAAATTTTAAAATGTTTATGTGGATATTATTTTTATATCTTTCAAGGAGAAAATGTGAAGAAAGCATTCAGCCTTTGATATTTTTTAGAACTAAAAATCTTTAACTTTTTTGAATTATGATTATAGCAATGCCAATACTGGGTATTTTTTTCATTGAAAGCGGAACTTCAAATTAGGCTAATAATTAGCTAAAAACAATATTGCCTCTGAGTTCCATCTTAAAATGTTGATAATTTTTCTTTAAATTATATTGATATATCAGCATATAATGAATATATACAAACGTGCAACAGGAAGCTATGGAAAAGCAAGAAAAAGCCTTCCTAAACTTAGTGCTGAAATTCTCCCAGCAAAAATGGAATTTCTGATATATTATTTGTATTCTTTAATCTTAACAGCAATTGAATTCTGAGCAGTGTATATAATCACTGATTTTAATCAAAAGTTAGACAGCTGGATTGAATCATTAGAACAAAAATGCATTCAAGAAAGAAATATGCCAAACATCGACATAAAACATGAATATGAAAGAAGTTATTTATTCAAGATGGGAAAAATGACAGTAGGCATGATTCTTTTAAAGAAGAGTTAAAATTTAGTTCTGGCACAACAATTGTCTTCTTTTAGTATCAAAGTACTTGTATCTCAGGCAGTTCTTTCTACACTTCACTAATCATTATAATTGACTTGTCTTTTACTGCCATTAATTATATGATGTAGTAGTCCATTAATAATTATGAGAGTGACACACCTCAGCATTTTCATCTTTAATTATAGATACTACATTTTTATGATTCAAGAAAATGGCTAATAAAACTGTTTAATAAACACCCACACTATAGATACATAGCTAGAGATACTTATGCATATTTACTTGTCCTACAGCACCCTTACCCTTCAGAAGAACAGAAAAAGCAGTTGGCACAAGACACAGGGCTGACAATACTTCAAGTGAACAATTGGTAAGTACCGTAATTATACTTCAGTATTTACCCAGTATCAGCATTAAAGCCTCTGGCAACTTGCAGCCAATGGTTTGCATTATGATGATCCACCTTTTAGTAACTTTCTTTCTTTCCTAGTTTAGGATGGCAAATCCAGCATAGCCTATAGAGAATGCTTTCAGCTAATGGAACCAGTTATTTTATTCTTCCTGTATTATGGCTATTGGCTTTTACACAGCCGTGGAAATAGTTAGGTTTCTTTTTGTAAGTATTTGTACGGTGATTGGCTGGAATGGATTTGTTTTAGGCTACTTTTCAAGAAATCAATTTCTCAACAGCTAGGAAATTACAAATGAATTGGCCATTATTATAGTTATTTCATACTCATTTTAGTGTACCGTTTCATGTAATATTATTCACAAATGCTGCAGTTGAGCATGGAGCAGTCTAAATCCTATTAATGTCTCTCAAGCTATGATGGAGAAAGCTGGTTAACAAAATTACTAATAAACTAATTAGTAAAAAGAACAAGCAGAAATACAAATGCCCAAATCTTGGTTTAGGAGGGAAAATAAAAATTCTTAAAATATATTTAGTTTTTGCTGTTTCTAATAGTTTAGCTCTTAATAGATAAAAATGCAGTTTAAAAAAAAACAATTTAGTGTGTTGCATTTATTCTTGATATGAAATGCAGGCTTCACACTGAAACAGCATTTAAGTTATATAAAAATCTAATGCTGTGTAAAATTAAGTGAATCTAATTAATTGTCCCAATAATTTTAGATTACTGTTTACAAAATATGGAAATCTTATCATCTTTGAAGTAATATTCAGGAAATGGCTAAGGCAAGCTCCAAGTATGACGTGAAAGAGATCTAGACAATTTGTTTCTCTTTTCTTATTATTCCAAAAATGTCAGAGATTAATATTGCTGAAACTTTGATTACAAGGGTAATCCATTTTAGTGAATAAATTTGGTTGTGATGTTTTATTGCACCTGCATTAACCAGCTTTTCACAGACAGAATGACTAGAGACCAAAGAGAGGGGCTTCAGATATATTAAACTCTATTATAGAAAATGTAATTTCTGTCAATATAATCCCATGTATTCTTCAATTTAGTACGTTGGAGATAACAAGGTACTTACAATATATTTGCCTTCAGAGGATTAATTCACCAAGTGCTGCTATCTGTAAGACACAGACAGGCTTATATAATCAGAGCTTGTAAAGGTTATCAATTTCTGTGACCTTACAACAGACATAGGAGATCAATTTGCTGTAGCCTTTTAAATATGTTGAACAATGAGATCAGAGAATGCTTTGTGTGTTGATTTACACTTATTTTTGAATGCCACATACCAAATAATAAATAATTATGTGTTAATCACTAATAAGGACATCGGAATATAAAAGCACACATGATGCAGATTTATTGTACGAACAAGCCTGGCTTGCATGTCTGTATTTGTTTTGTTGGATCCTTAAAATGGGTATGTACTTTTGCAAATATGTAATGCTACTACTTGTAAAGTTTGTTGAAATTGCTCTTTGCAGGTGAATTATAAAATATTGCATCCCATGCATTTGTAAAAACTTACACAAAAGTTCATGATGAGGTTCTCATAGGTTTGTCTGCATGAACTTCTGTATAAATGAGAGAACACATTTGGAATTAGTTGCACATTTATAATGCAATGATGTATATCTAGCTGGGTGTCTCTACTCTTCTACTAGCAATTCTATTTTACTAATAAATCCTTGGGAAATATTGTGAAAGCAAGTTTTCAGATATGGCCCTTATGTTACACTGAATCATCAGATTTTTTTTTATTTGGTTTCATTTTTATTCTACTTCTATATCAACGACTGTAGTGTTGTTGTGATTCAGTGCATTTATTTTAATATGTCTTCTGTAGTGTTATGTATTTAAATAACCTGGTAAATATTTTTTTAAAGGGTGGGGTTTAATAACCTAAAATAAAATGTTAAAACATGAGTTATTTAAGAGTCACATTAAAAGGGATTAAGAGTCAAATTAAAATAGAATGGCCAAGAAATAAAAGGAAAAAAGTTCACCAGAGTTCAAATGAGACAAGGCATGTTGGTTATAAGCAGGAATGTAGGAGGTAGTTTTTGTTAGGGCTTGTACTGTTGTATTTTCTAGCCCTGTTTGAAGAACTCAGATCCCTTGAAGTGAACAGGCCATAGTCAAGATTGGCTAGAAATATATAAACTATATTGTATGTTATTATAAGCTTGTGAATTATTCTAGCCTTCAAGGATAGATTTGAAACCTAGATAATCTATCAACAATTATGCCGGGTATGACTAACATGTAATATCCTAAGGGAAAACAATGTGGTTTATGATAGCTTCCTAAATAGTTCATTTTGTTCGGAGTATTTCTAAATAGTATTGTGCAAATAGAAAGCCAGTATGATGCATCTGGCCTCTAGGATTTTTTTTCATCTGACTCCTTAGCAGCTGAATGTTCTAAGCTGAAATTCTTTAAAAAAAATCATGATATTGGGCATATATTAGAGAAGCCCTTGGTCAAGTATTAGGGTATTTCTCTTTGTACAGGAACATCCTATTTCCCAAGGCAGGGGTTAAACAAGAGCCGCCCTATCATTAGGCAGACTGAGTGACTACGTGCTTGCTTTGCATATCCAAATTAAAAGCCCAGAAGGTATTGGAGGTAGACAAAGTTATACATGTACTGGACTGCCTGCCTTGTATCATCTGAACTATCCTGCCACATGTAAATGAAATAGAAACAGCCAGCACTGAATTAAAATTCAGCTGCCAGGTTGGATGACTTCTCCATGAAGAGTTGTGGTGAGGGTGAGGGCATTTTAGATTTTGCCTCAGGCAGCAAAATGTCTTCAAATGGCCCTAGATTAGCCTCTACTTTCCACAGTGAGGCACTTGAAAGAGAAAGAGAAATAAGTTTCACTGTCGGCAGCTAAACAACTTAAGCCGGTACTCCAGGGCTTCGGATGCTGTGCTAAAACAAGCCAATACAGGGATAATATGTTTCATGAACAATTATGTGTGCTGTGACTAGAGCTATGTATTGTTCAAGATATGAATCTTTTCTCTGACATCAAACAATTAAGGTGGCCTTAAGCAAGCCATTCTCTCTCAACTTTAGCCTCCCAAATGCAATTTGGCAGAATAATATAGATTTACCTTAGAGGTTGGATTATATTAAATTATACATTAAGTCCTCTGTTAAATTAATTTTAAAAAAGTTTTATAGCAGCTTATGAAACAGTTGACAAGATAAATTTTAAAGCAATAAACTAGAAAGTAGTTAACTAAAATGAAGTTTACAACTTCTACAAATTTTTAAAGCACTATGCAAATTAGGACTGTATGAAGCATCCAAAAGATGTGCTTGCAAAACATGTTAGCACAAGTGGAGCACTTTCTGTCCATGTATATGCAGACAGTCTGGAACAATGTGTGAAAAAGTTGTGTGAGATTTCCACCTCTTTCAAATACTTTACACAGCTCTAACACAAATTCTAAGTCATCAATTTGTAATGTGCCAGTTATATATTCTACTTTTGGAGAAGGAAGAATTAAGCTCAAGATGTTGACTTGCCCAAGGCAGCCATCCCAAATTAGTAGTAGCACCTATTGGCAATCATAGGTTTATCTTGTACCAGATTTATGGATTGTTCTCCTGATGTCTTTTCACTGAACTATGATAGGCCCCTTTTGCCTGTTCTTTGGAAAAATACTTCCAAGTTCAGAGAAAGTAATTATCGGCTATATTGTAGAGATCTGTACAATTATTCTTTTTTCTACAAGAAAAATCTAATCTATAGATTAGTTTTACCTTGTTTAGTTGACACATATATGATTCAATTGTAATTCTCTGGGATTTTTTTCTTTGTTTAAATCTTTCAAAACCTGTTAATAACCATGAACATTTTTATTCTGATGAGTTAGTAAATGTTGCAGAGATTTAATGAAGTCTGAATGGCAGCTTGGGTGTGGATCAGTTATGAATGATTGCATTATGACATGGGCAAATACATGAAATTTACATGAAAAACAAAAGCTCATGACTTGAGAGCATATGATATTTGAATAAAAATATATTTGATTTGATGGCCTTCTGAAAGATGGAAGATTTTTCAGCATGCTTTCTGAAAATACCTTAAAGAATTTATTTTGATATATTTTGAATTTAAAGTAACATTTTTCTGTGTATGTTGATTTTCTTTCAGTTTTTTATGGGCATATAAGATCACAAGACTGCTAAGACAATTCATAATGTTTCAATTATTTTAAAGCAGCAAAATACTGGAATATTATAACATTGTATTCGATTTGGAGATCGATTTGAAATTTCTACCAAATATTTCCAATTATGTCCGAATCTGGCATAATAATTAAAAAAAACCAGTAAAAGTTTGTAAGGCAAATGTTAGGATTTAGAAGCATAAGATTTTGTCTCTATGATCAACCTCTGAAGCATGTAATAGTCATTGGGAAAGAAAGAAAAAGAATATAAAATATGGTGGTGAAAAGACCCAGCAGGATTAGCTTAAACATTTTTTTTATAACCCCCCTATATTGTTCAGTTTTAGCATTCAGCTTCCAGAAACCTTACTAAGATTTATGGAAAGATTATGTCCATCTCTCTTGCCATTCTCATGCTCATGGGTGTCATCTGTTTTGCTTTGCATATTCTTATTGTTGTTGTTACATGTACTGATTCATTAAAAAATCGGAAGCAGGCATGTTGGAAAACAAAAATGCCAACTAGAAAGCTAGTCTTTATTTCCAAAAATGATTCAGTACCCTGCATATACGTCAGATGCATCTTTATTAAAAAATTGACTCAAAAAGGAGGAAAAATAAGCATCTGAAGGAGAGAAAGTAATGGAGAGCGCATCCCCCTCAGTTTCCTTTCTTTGAATTGGGTATTTTGTGACTAAATACTTCCATTAATGGAGTCATTTTTGTGAGAGTGTTAATGACATTGTTTCAACATTCCA